AGTTGACATTCAAGAAAACAAGACTATAAGTTTTATTTAAAACATGTACCATTTTCTCAATTTTGAACAGTGACTCAATGGCCTTCAGTGAGGCTGGTCACTAAGTTTTAGTAAGAGTTTTACGGCAATCGCAACTCAATATAGTTATATACAAAAGCCCTAGCTTAGAGGTGTTACATCCAGTACTGCCGTGGAGAGGATGATGCTTTTGGGAATACAAAAAGGAAGCGGACAAACTGGCATCCTTGCAGGAAAGAACAGAAGAACGTTCAACCAGCTGATGTGCACTGGCACAATCAGTGGAAGGACCCTCAGCAAAATTTTGGAGAGACCAACGGAGCATCAATGAACCATGAACAATGAAGAGGTGTTACAAGAGAGTAACAAACACACAAAAGGAGGAGACATCAGGAGGATAGGTGTTTGATAGGAAAGAAAGAGCAAACCACGCCAGAGCACCCACCAACCACCCTTTAGCTACTAAGAAAATGTTAAATGAACAGGCCCAGCGTCACCATCCATGTGTTTACCAGCTCAAAAATGCTACTTAATTTTGCTTTGAGTAACCTAGTCAACTATAACAAAGGTTCCTATCCAACATGAAAGTATAAACATTCCATTTTTGTGCTTTGACAGGTTAGTATTGAGGAATAATCTAAATTCCAAAGGCAAAATTAGGATGCAATGAAGGGAAGATGAAATGACTCTTATACATAAATAATAACACATAAAATCATCATAGAAAGTTCACATATGTATTGATAAGACTGAAAACAAAAATTACATGATGTGTTTGGCGGTTTTTGAATTCTTAAAAATAATTTTATAATTATTTAAAGTCAAAATGGCACACAAGAATAGGTAAAGACAATACAGTTGACAATCTGGTGTATATATATTGAAAAAATCAACATGTCAATTGATAGATAAGTTTGTTGAAAAGGGGTAAAAAAAAAATATAATAGTTATTTCATTTTTTTAATGTCTTCATTAATTCCGCAGTAAATAATTGTCCAATCATTGAAGGAGAAATAAACTGCAAAAAAATGTGTGCCCAACTTATCCCCAAAATATCTTTTTAACAGGTGAATCAAAGTCACCAATACTTTGCACAGCAAATTGTATCACTTTGTCTTAACCGAACCTAATCATAATATTTTTCCACAAAAACAATTGAGGCTAAAATATTTTTAAAGTTCAGTAGCAATGTGCTGGAGCCAGTGTGTTTTGGTTTGAACAATAATAATATGTAATCATTCATGGTTGCAGGGATGGAGTAAAAAGTAAGTTTTGTTCCTCACCATTAATTGCACTACAGGTGATCAAAACATGAGTTCCATAAGCAGAGTGTCACGATTAGAAGAGTAAGATGAACTTGCTTTTAAAAGTGATATTATTCCAGCTCAAAGGATGTAATCTCTTTAAAATAAAATCTGTAGAAACCATCGACTGGGTTTTTTTATAAGTATTTTATTACGGGATTCTCTAGAATAGAGCATACAGATGGTTTTTTAAATATTCATCAGTTAAGACAAATTGATATAAGTCATTGTGCAAAAGTTGAAGAGTCTATTTTCTATAGTTGGGGAGATATTTGACAGTAAGTTGCGCCACAAATTTTTACTGCACTATAATATGAATAATCCATGACCACTGCACATGTTGAAATAATTTCCAAAAAAAAGCATGCAAACATAAAACTAATTTTAGAGAAAATAAAACTCGCTTATTCATTGACAAGGAAAATTGGATGAAAATCATGTCCAAACAGCCTCACTTGGAATTTGGCGCTATCTACTATCTACTCATCTTACGTTTGTAGTCTTGAACTATATAACTTGATGTTCAGCTTTCTTACTTAGCCCAATGTAGACAGATGGGTAATTATTATTAGTACTTCATTGGGTAAGTATAGAGACATACTGGGCACAACAACACACACAATTATACTGAGGTGAAAATAGTTGTCTCTGATACTTTTGTGGGCACAGCTCAGGGCTGAGTTTTCTTGTCCCCTACCATAAAAATATCAAAGGTAAAAGAGAAAAGAAGAAACACTAAGGAATGCATATATGTTATGATAATACAAAACTGTTTACCAGGCAACGAATATTGTGCATTGCCATATTTCTGGAAATCAAATATATCCCTGAGTCTTCATAATATCCAGTATTCTTCATATAACAAACAAAAACAAAAAAATACTGCTCCCTCCTTCTGCAAGCTCTGAGTAGTACATTATTGATTTTGCAACAAAAAACAGATTCAATGGCACAAATTATAAAAGAATGGATATTCAGAATTAGATTCTAAATCCTTGAACTTTGATCAACAGGGACGAATGACAACTGTCAATATGCTTTCATACTTTCCTATTCAATGATGATGATAGAAGCCTGAACAAATAAAATAATTTCCTTAGTCAAAGTACAATACAGTTGTATATGTGTCGCGATGCTATGTAATCAGGCACTTGAAGATACTGGCATTTTTCCGCCGGTTTGGCAATCTTTATTGAATTTTTGTTTTGGGCTCAACAACATTTATGTCCAATTAAAGAACACTACAGCTTTGGAAGTCATCGAACTTTGGCGGTCATTGTCTCGCTAATTTTACTTCTGGCACAAGGTGAACCCGCCTTCTTCAATCGCAAATATCTCGACTTCCATTCAAGATAGATGGTATTTTTTTTCTCCATCAAAAGCAAAAAAAAATGAAAGGGTTTTAAAATTATACCAATAACTCCATATGCTCAAAAATTGACGAGTGCTTGATTCCACTGCACAACAACACAAAGAATTTCAAAGAATTTTCTTTAAAACTGTGGCAAACAGTTTCGAAGCTAAAGAAATAAAGTACATGTAAATCTCTTTTCTCTGAGTGACTTAATTAACTATAACATGTAGAAATTAGTAAGTGCATCATCAAAGTTAAGAAAGAACACTACGGTATTACACAGCTATCAGACTAAAACACACCTTAATATTACAAGTAAATATTTCAGTAACAATGTTGATGAGATTTTAAAAATCGAGCATAAAAGAAAAAGTAAGCTGTGAAGTGGCCCATATATGCACCAGCCAATGGACGCAAGCAGAGCAACCTGTCTTGCCTCAAGCCTCAACCTGGGCCCATTTTTTAACACACATGCAGCAGTCCTGCTTTAGAATATCTTTAGAATATTGGCACTATGTCTGACAGTAGTTTACACTGTCAGTGCACGATGTAGATTTCTTTTTAAAGCATAATTTTTATTTAACATCAAACCACCATGGTATTTACTACGATTTTTATGGTAAATTTAACGCAGATAACAAATTTGAAGTCAAATACACATATTAAACAAAAGAATAAGAACATTTTTACCCCACCATACACTCTACCCCAGATCAATGAAAAAATGTTTGGCACAGTTTAAATTTCTGGACCTGTGTTGGCTTCATGAAATCAGCCACACAACCAGCAATTTCTGACAGTTTTTCAGGTTCAGGGCCAGATCTAGGGCGTGATCCTTCCATGTGTGGGGCCCTTTTGTCTCAAGGAAGGTGATCAGCTGATTGTTATTGAGAGAAGAGTTTAAGGTCAAATAAATCATTGGCATGTTAATCATACATCAACTAAGGTTAAAAAAATAACCTGTGGGGGCCTGATTATTTTTCCTAATTTGAGAGAAAAAGGAATCAACATAGCTGATAAAAACATCATTTGAAATATGCTAATGAGGGTTAAGATGAAAAGCAAAATACAATTTATAGTTTCCTGAGAAAAAAAACCCAAGGAAAAACAAAATTGAAATATATGAAATAAAAGATGCCACGAAAAAGTTCTCGCACTTTCAGACTCATCTTTTTCACACACGCTCCTATTAAAAGCATAAACAAATACATTATAAGGCACCTTATATACCCATAAACATACTGGGATCTGTAGTGTAGTGGTAAGGTGCTTTGTTTTTAAACGCAGGAAAACGGCGTTCGATTCCTGAGTGGGGAGGAAATTTTCATAGAGTCTCAGTATCTGTCTATCTGCTGGGATGTGTCCCTCTCAGCCTGGGTTGGTCCTGACTTGCAGGATCGGAAGCCAGCCTCCTAAATGATCTAAATTGCGTCCATGGGGTGTAAAAAAAAACACCAAACATGTACATGAGCCCATAAATACATTTTCAGGGACTACCACATTATTGTTTAGTCTTGTTAGCAAATTTTGCCCTGTCACTATTACTGCTCAGCTCAAACATTCAAGAGCATACTTCAACTTGTTTTTAAATTCCATTGGATGTCCAGTAACACGGAAAACAATGTTATCATTGTGAAATTAATAGCGTTCAAAGAAAAAATTGTGCTTCGGGTTTGCTTTCGATTTGATAAAATAGCGATTATCACCAATGAACCTTAACAATAATATCTAAATCAGATTCAAGATGAAGCATGCAATGCTGGCCTTGGGTTGCTGTTCAGATTCAAAGCAAGCCATACATTTTTCAATGATGATCTATACCTAAAGCCTTGACTGGCGCTACAGCAGCTGCAAAAGCACAGAAATTTCATCAAGTTTGTACCCAATAAACAATCCTAGCTAGTCACCTTGAACCTGAATTCTTGGGATATTAGGGAAGATGTGCGAGAAGAAAGACTAAATCTTTGAGAATGCCATAATCATTGAAATGAGAGTACAACAAGGTATATTCTAGTGCGTCCAGGAGTATCTCACTTTCAACTTCAACTACATAATTTCAATCCTACTTCACCCTCAAATTTTCCTGTAACAACCTTTATTTTTCCTTTTTTCCAAACAACAAAAACCATGTAAAGGTGATTAATCAAGAAAGTAGATAAGAGTCAGAATCGTAGCGAGTGCTCAACACCACCATCACAAACAGTTGAATAAAGAGATAAATAAAGATTGTCATTGTTATTGCCATTATAACAAACAGGATCCAAGGGGGTGTAGTACAGCCATCAGGGGGAAGTTCTTTCAACAAAGAACAGAATCTGTGGAAATTTTTCCTTATTTTTTTTTCAAACAACTCTATGATCTTTCATATAAAATCAAGAATAGTTACACAGCTGCTGATATCCTTGCTAACAATCCAAAAGATGAATGATATGAATTAAAAGACCATGTTTTAGAAATGTAATAGATATTCATTCCACATCTCTCTCATAATTTTTTAAAAACATTTAGCAATGCAGAGAAGCAAAATCAATTTCACATCTTTGTTTACAAAAATAAACTACTTCCAATAAACTGCTACATAAAACATGGAAATCCATTCCATATCTTTCTCTGACAACATTTCAAGGAAAAAATTTCTTTAGTAAAGCACAAACAGTATTCAAGATTTTAGATCTTGGGAAATTACAATTTTGCATTTGAGGATATGGCACCACTACTGACTAAATCATTAATCTCAGTCTCAGAAAACCCATGTTCCAAAAGGACATCAACAGTATTGGCCCCACAATCAGGCAGTGCTCTTTCAGTCCCATCAGCCCCAGTTCTGCTGAGTCGTGGAGCAGGGGCACCTTGAAGCTCGGGCACAGTGCCCCTGATGAATAATCCTCGCTCTTTGTTGTGAGGATGATCAGCTGCTTCTTCGGGAGTGAGCACTGGCGTAACGCAGGCATCCAAGTCTTTGAAAACTTCAACCCATTCCTCTGATGTCTTCGTAGCAAAAATCTTACTGAACAACTGCCTCTGCTGGTCCTGATCATCTGACTGAGAGGTCCCACTTCCCTCCAGACCCAAGCCTGAAACAAAAAATCAAAAACTAAAGTGAAACTACATTGTTCACCATGAAAAAAAAAAGACTTGATAAACATTTCACTTGAAGTTTTGCCGTAGTATCTTCAACTTAACATCAAATCTCATTAACACAACTAAGTTCTAAATGAGTGACTTGTAAAGACGAAAGTCTCTTCACTTTTGTCTTTGGGAAGAATTAGAATTAATCTATGACAGCCCATCTTGATAAGTCAATTCTTCTTCCACTTTCAAAGGAGAGTGTGCCTTTCACACCTGCAATATTAACAGCATGAGCAGACCTGTAAATCTTTTTGACCTCATTCAAGAAGACCAGGCAGCCCATCCCACCTGCCATGGTTTCAACATAACAGGACTGTACTAGGTGCATGAATATGGGAGAAAAGAAACTTTCCACTATTCTGACAAGCCCCCTAAAGAAAGAGGAGAGTATTAGTCATCAGTGAACTTTTGTCATCATGACTGCAGGGCTAGAACCCAAATGGCCACTGGATCGGAAAAGTAAAGTAAAGAAAGTCATCATGACAGCATTTGACTACACTTGTACTTGAACAATTTTTATACCTTTTAGTAAGTCCTTATAAAACTGGGGTTCCAGAGCACCGACAGCCATATACTTTCCATCTTTTGTCTGGTAGGTGTCATAGTACGCACTACCTCCATCCAACCAGTTTTTCCCTCTGGGCTTGGGAAACAGCATATCATTGGTAGCATCTATAAAACTGGCTACAAACAAAGAGGAAAAACAAAAAATACACTTTCAATGTGCATAAACAAGATTTGGCAGATTTAATGAGACAAAACTTACTTTTAAACACATTGACAAGACAAGCAAAGTAGTTGCAGTTCCCTCACAACCCATGATAATATTTGTTTGGCAATTGCATTTGTATTTTGTGACCTGAGATGGTTGAGAAAGTGACCAAATATTCTGCTGCATTTTAAAAATGCTGATTGAAAGGTGTTCAAGGAAATTATCTATATATTATGTACTTTGTTACTTCATCTTGAAGACCTCACAAATCGAAGAAAGTCTTTGCTGAAGAGGACTGTTACACCCAAGTATATTCAGCAAAACTTTCTCATATTCCCAGGTGATCAAGATATACAGAGCGTAAGAACAAGCTAGCAGCATCAGAACAATCCTGGAAAGAATACCCTTTGCCATTAGACAAGGCTTCAACAGTTCCAATACAGGCAAATTTATTTTCTCTGCTGAAGAAAAAGCGTGTAAGGTGATGAATGGCCTTCATACCTATATATGCAGATCCTTCCACCATGCTGGAGTCCACCATCTGACCTTTGCCGGACACTGACCGCTCGTACAGAGCCATGAGGATACCCAGAGCACAGGAGAGGCCACCCCCAGCAAAGTCACCAACAATATTGACAGGCGGGTAAGGACGTTCACCAAACCTTCCAAACCTTGAGAGTGCACCTGAAAAGAAAAAAAAAGGAAATTTAATTCAGAGACAAGGAGAAACACAGATGGGGACGATGACAATGATAGTTGACAGACATTCGATACAATGACAGTCAAATAAAACAAGGAAAAATAGATGATAAAAAGGAATTATCAAACAGAAGCACATCATTAGCCCTCGTCCTGCGGGAGCCGGGTTTATGTCGCCCGATAAGCCTATTTCGGCACCTCCCCTACTTTCTGGTCCCGAATCAGTGTAGCCCCTGGCTCAGCGCACGCGCAGCGCGCATCATCGTACCTGTCATTCGGGTCCCGAGTCGGATCCCCATTCACGCAGGTCAAGTGTGTGTGCGTCAGTCTGCTTGAGTTTGTGTGCGTTTGTGGCCTTCTTCTAGAACCACCTGCGTTGGTTCATAATCGAGGCATACGTCTCATTCAAAACATGCCAAGTTGGTAGCTCTAGATGTTCGTCCAATGAAATTATAGAAGAAATTGACCCACTTAGACATGAGGAGCTCGAAAGGATAGTCAGGAAAGAAGACTTCCATTTTTCTATACAAAATCTTTCAAATGAGCTTAATTTTGTATGAAATGATACTACTTGATAAAAAATAAGCTTGTTTAATAGTTTGGAATACCGTTGTGCAGGTATTATCCCCTTTCGAACCTCAGGTCATTCATAACAACAAGAGCGTCTAGAAAGGTTATTCGAATGGGTGTAACTACTCGTAATGTCTTATCAGCTTGCGAGAGGGGGTTATTCATGTGTTTGTAACACTTTATAAATAGAAAGCTATGAAAGATAGAGCGTTATTTTCATCATCGGTTAACACACTCCCGCGGTATTCATGGCGGAAACACACGTTTCCCTCGCGCTCGCTGTACACACTGAGTGACCCCGCCGGCCTGCCCGGCACGTCTGACGTAATCGGTTGCTGATAAGATTCGCATCTCGGCACAGACGCAGGACAAAAGTTAATCGTACAATATTGAACTAACATGAGTTATAACAGAGTATGCTGGATTATTTTTTTATTCTTAGAAATTTAAAAGAGCTTGACTCATACTCATACATAATTTAAAAAATACATTTGAACTATAAGAGAAAAGAAAACTTTCAAAAACAATGAGAATAGACTTATACACCCATGAAACATAGAGAGGCAGAGACAGGAATTGTGAACTTTGTTTTCTGGTTTCACTACTATCACAATACAGAATATAAAGACCTAGAGGCAGAAGTGACTGACATAAACCTACAGAAAAACACATATGTCAGGTGTCATGGAGAAATCATGAGCTCATCAAATGAATGAAATTGATGAAACAGGCCTTTTTTCTTCATGTTTGGCCATTTTTATTGAAATTTTGTTTTTTGGCTCAACATTTTTCATGTCCATTTAAACACATTAATGTCTGGATTTTACACAAACACATTGATTAAAGGCACAAAAAATGTAAATTGGCATTTTCCAGGGACTCTCAAGTTTTGGAAGTCACCAAACTTTTGCAGCCATTTTCCTGCTTATTTTTACCTCTGAACCCAGACAGCCCCCACCTCCTTCAATCACAAATATCTCGATTTCTGTTTAAGATAGGTAATCTTTTTATTAAAAGCAAGACAAATGAACAAGCTTTCAGATGATACCAAAAAATTGACGAGCACCTGATTCCACTGCATTGTGACACGTATAAGAAAAACAGGATGGTTGTACAAGAAAGCATTAGGTAAAATGTAAAACTATAGTCAAAGGCCCAACTTTGTCTCTCATGTTTGCTATACAACATTTTATACTTTTTCCAAAGCCATGTGCTAAACTGGTTAAAAATCTGGACCTTGGGAGAACATCACAAATTTAGAGCAACTAACAATTTCTTCCTTGCAGAATACTTGTCAGCAGCAAAGAAAACTATCTTGTATGCTTGAAAATTGTTTCTGTACATGCATTCAGAAGAGAACACTGCTCACATTCATATACAGTATAACATGGATAGCTCGAATTCATCCGGACTGGCCTCGGTAGTTCGAGGGATCCGTAGTTCGAGGGCTACGTGAACAGAGTTATGGCATCAGCTGTGTTAGGAAATCAAGAGAAGCAACAAAGATTGGGTCCGAACAGAGGCTTTTCTTTTTTTCGGCCATTGACCTAGATCAGATAGGTTAGATATATATGTCTATTGATCTGAATTTGAAATTTGAGAGAAGCTGAAATTGACAGATTGAGAAAGAGAAACACGATCAGCAACGCTTTCGAGTTCGATCGGGAATGAGCCTACCGATACAAAGACAGTTTAACTGCACGGGTCAGTATGAGCGGTCTTTAGTTTGCACCAATGGAACGGTGCCTTTTCAAATTTTTCAAAACATAAACAATTTGACAAGATAAGCATTTCGCAACAGTAATCAACAAGGCAAGGACAAAACAATGCAGCAATACCCCGCCTCTCCCACCAAGCGCGCAGTCCTTTGCAAAGAGGGGTGTGGCGGCCGATCGTGAGAAGCACAACCCTTCCTCTTGGCTGCTCCACATAGGCCTGAGAACTAAGCGCCCGTAGAGGGCACGCGTGTCGAGCCGCACGCTAAAAAAAAAAGTACAGCTAGCAGCTTCTGTGGAGGGGGGGGGGGGAGGGGGGAGCAGTAGGGCCTGAGGCGGGGGGACATGTGTTGCAGCGAGCTGGATTCTGTGGGGGGGGGGGGGGGAGGTAGTATCTTTCCGGCCTTGTCTCTTTCCGTTAAAAAAAATTATCAACATTATTTTGTCTTAAGTGCACCTCAAAGGACATTGACTTAAGACCTGAATGGAAGCGTAATTAGTTTGACTATTCCTTGTTTGTGTTCGAGCTTCGCGTACTTTTCTTACAAAGATAAAGAAGGAAAAAAAATGGGATTGCAGGCACAGTTTAACGGATGCATGATTTCGAGTAATCTGTGTTCAACCTATCCGGGTTATACTGTATTTTCTCATAGGTTAAGCTAATGCACTGACAGGTTTGTCCACTGCCTTCCTAAATATCACATCAGAAAAAAAAGCAAAAAGGCTTACCAGACATTGCTATATAGTTGATATCATGCCCTGCCTTGAGAGCCATTGCTCCAGTTTGACCATAACCAGTCAACCGAGCATAAATCAATTTTGTGTTTGCCTTCATGAGCTCCTCTGGTCCCAGGCCCAGTTTTTCCATGACTCCTGCAAAAGTTCAAGACCATTCAGGACAACTAGTATGATCTATTGTGATAAAGACAATCGGTTCAAAGATTTAACACAATTTTCTTTACTCTAAAAAAAAAATCACATCGACTCATGACTCAAAACAATGACAAACATGGTCATGATGCCAAAAAAATCAGGTGCTTGCTCGTCAAAATAGTGAAATCGAAGAAAACAGCATTTTCTTCCCATTTGACAGTTTTTATCGAATTTTCATTTTTTGGCTCAACACCATTGTTCTGTGGATTTTACTATAAACATTGTTAATAAAAGGCACAAAAAATGTAAATTTACAGTTTCCAAGGATTCTCAAGCTTTAAAAGTCACCAAACTATGGGGGCCATTTTCTCTCTAATTTCCTCTCTGAAACCAGGTGACCCCCACCTCCTTCATTCTAAAATATCTCGGAGTTCTATTAAAGATAGATGGGTATTGTTTTCATCAAAAGCATAACAAATAAACAAGCTATATTAAGATGATACTAATAATTCAATATGCGCATAAATTGATGAGCGCCTGATTCCACAACATCCTGATACACATGATAAAAACAAAATGATCAGTGATATTACCCCAAACAAAACATGATATGATTCAAAACAAATTTTCTTGGGCTTCATCAGCATGAAAAAGAAAATGATTAATCCCTTCGAAAGTTTAAAGAAAAGAAGAAAAGGTCAATGAAAAGAAAATTAGCAAATTATAAATATATTGCAGGGTAATATAAAAAGGCACAACGAAATTTAAGAGAATAATTATTTACCTACATCATAGAACGTGCAAATTCGTAACTGATGAAAACACAAACCTATAACAGAAAAATAGCCCTGAACAACATTATGGTATCATAGCAAACAAAATTAATAAAGATTAAAGCTACTAATCATACAGTAATATCATTAGGTATTTGACACTTTACAACAATTCATTCACTAATCTGTACAAATGAAACCATTTTGGAAATCATAAACCGAACCACTCCTTTCAACAGCTTTATCAATTCTAGATCTGTAATCTGTGCTACTACTGTAAGAACTTACCAGGACGAAAAGGCTCGATTAAAACATCTGCTGACTGGCACAACCTTTTCACAACATTGATGCCTTTTTCCTTTTTCAAATTAACAGAAACAGACTGCTTGCCCCTGGCAAGTCGATCTATACTGACGCCACTTGGCTGGTGGAAAAAAAAAGTTCCATAATGAAAAGATAAATAAATTAATAATTGATCCAATGAATGTCAATTTTTTCCTCCAACATATTTTCAATATGTACAAAAATCTAAAGGGAACACGGATAAGCAAAAGGCAGACAATATAGCAAAAAAAATAGGAGAGAACCATTGATTGTTCTGCTGACAGTGGTTTCCACTGAATCTTTGTTGCTACTACTACAGTACTGGCCAATAGGTCTACATTAATTTTGACTGATATTTCTTTTAAGAATAAAAAAAAAAAAAGATTTATTTATGTTTCACAATCCACCCATTTAGTTCCTCTAGCTACAAAAAGTCTCAGAAACAGTAGCACAACACTTTGAAAAAATTGTAGTGACAAAACGGCCTGACATGAGTTAATGCATTCAAACACAGAAGTACATAAGTCTGGACTTATAATATGGGTAGAAGTAGAACACGTCCAAATATTCATCAGCAGAATCAAACAGGCTTTGGTAATTAATTAATCACACACAGGGGGGGGGTTCAGGCTTTGAGGCTTTGGCCCCATCCTGAATGAGCTCAAACAATGAGCTGAATAAACTGTCTGTGCAATAAGCCATGAACATACATACCCTGTCAATGCGTATGACCCGAGCTCCAAAATCACTCAGTACCATGCCACAGAATGGCACAGGGGCAAGACCAGCTAATTCAATCACTTTTATCCCTTTGAGAGCCATGGTTCTTCAGCTATCAAAAGAGAATGAGTTTTCATGTACTTAAAAAATGTAGCGCAATCATGAATGCAATAACAAGAAAGTAAATGTATAAGCACTCGCAAAAGCATCATATTCTAAAGCTCACAAGAGTCAAATTAGACCAAATTACATAATAACTATCAAATTTCAGTTATACATGATAGATCATCTCCTTGTAAAGAGAATAATAGATCTGCTTCTTTTTGTGTTAAAGGAGAATGTTACTTTTCACAAGAGTGTTGTTTTGCTCAAACTGAAGACTTTGTAAATGATTTCATAGACAGCATAAATGGGAAGATAGGCATCCCTCATATCAAATAACTTCACTTAGCATCACTTGGACAATTTGCATTACCATGAGAGAAGTGTGGAAGACGCCGTTCCATTATTTCTTGAAAATATCTATAGACATAATTTAGACAAATCAAAAACATACTGTAGGATCCTTATTGTTGATTTTCCTTTAGCCTTTAATACTATCCAGCAAGCTATCCTTTTAAAGAAATTAGAAAACATAGGTGTAAACTTTACATCAATTTAAAATAATAATGAACAGGGAATTTTCTGACCAGCTGAGCCCAGTGCGTAAAATTGAAACATTCCTCATTGACACATAACACAACAAATACAGGGTTCCCTCAAGGATCATGTTTGTTCATTTTAGTAGAGGTTTTACGGCCCTCGCAACTGCATGAGGTCATATGAGCGCCAAGGGGTGGATGTCAACAGAGAAGTCCTTACAGGGAATCAGACTTACTCTGCTCACCTCTCTAGCTTCAACAGCACAAAGTCTGCTTCGACTATCAAGGCATCCCAGAAATAGCGGGTCACAAGAGTGTGACAAACATACAAAAGAAGTAGAGGAAAATGGCGATAGTAAGGATTAGGAAAGAATAAGCAGCAGTTCCCTGTTGTAGTTCACGCACAGTTATGAGGACGACATTGTTGGATCAGACCATTTACAATTCTACTGTGCATTAGAACGAGAAACGTTCCCCCTTTGGGAATGGCTTAAACACACTTCAGTCAGTGGCACCACCCCAGGGGGTGCTCAAGGATGTGTTTTGTTGCCACTTCACTTTTGTTTACATTGTACACAAAAAATTGCCAAATTGCCAACAACATCAAGTTGATAAAACTTGCGGACAATTCAACCATAATTCGGCTCATTCAGGCTGACCATGATGAAATTGCTAATCAGAATTCTACATTTAACTTTTCTGAGTAGTGTGAAACTCATAAGCTGCTTTTAAATGTGAAAAAGCCCAAAGACCTTGTTGACATTAAAAAAAAGAAAATGCCCCTGCAGCCACTCGAAACATAGACAACAAACTCGACTGGCATGTCTACACAGACACTTCTCTCCTGCATAAAAAGTGAACAGAAGACTATTTTTTAGAGAGGAAGCTCATGTATTTTAGAGCGGATAAATCATTGCTGTCCATATTCTTTCATTCAACCATAGAAAGTATGATCCATTTCTGTATGACAGTATGGGGTGGAAGCACATAATAAAAAAGATAAAGTAAATCTGAATTGATTTAAACAGAAAGCTGCAAAGTTTTAAAATCTACATTCCCCTACTTCGATGAATTATACATTATCGCTTGCACTAGAAAAAATCAATTCCATCTTTTTGGACAACCAACATCCCCTGTACTTTCAAATAAGAATATCAATCAAAAGTAAAAGATCTAGGCTTCTGATTTGTCACAAATAAAGATACAGAAGGTCATTTTTTATCATCATCCATTGAACTCTTACCATCTTCATCATCTTGTAATATAAATAGAGTCAAACTTCATTGTATGTACACCTCCCCTCCCACCCCACACCACCCCCTAAGCGTATCAGATTAAGAGTAAACTGTATGTCCACAGGTTCCTTGACACCTACAGCCTAGTTTCTGATCCAGCAAAAAATTTCAGTTTGGACTTACGTTAAGCTCAGCCGGAGCTGTACATATACATTTATAATCGTTTCATAGTTGTTTTTACCTTGCCCCTGGCAATTGTGCTGCAGAAATCTAGATGAGGCAAGACAGGCTACAATTTGTCTCTGCTCTCATTACCAGTCAACCACTAGTCTAGTAGTCAGGATAGCAATCAGTGCCATCCCGTTATACCACCAGCTCTGCTGTACAGCCAACTTCATGCTCGTCCCAAGGTAAGCGGTAAAACCATAAACGAGGATTGACTGTATTCCTATAACCTTTAAAGTATGAAATACAGCGGTCCCTGTCTAAGAAACCAGAGCTCAAGAGCGAGGAAAATGTAGAATCTTAGGCGAACAGGATCTTAACCAATGCACCAAGGGGAGAATCCTTGGTGACTCATGTTTAGGCCCGCAACCGGTAAAATGGTCTCCCTTTACTCTAAAATGAACTGACATGATCCCTTGGTGGGTTTGTGACTTTTCTTCTTGTTCTTCTTAGCACTGCTCTCCTGCTATATCAAGGGAAAAGTCGACTGCTAGTTCTTCAACCTGCACTGCAACTGATTTATGTTACCTTTTTTCCTACTTCGTGGGGCCCCTTGTTTTATGGCAGCCACATTCTGATATTGAAGGTACTCTGTATCTTTTTAATAAAAACTACAGTATTTTCAGATTTGTTAGGAATTCATTTTGAATTTTGCCCAAATGGCAGCCAAAGCCTTCTCCTAGCTAGGACCATCAAATGATCGTTAATGTGCGCAACAAACATAAAAGACATGCAAGATTTTTCGCCCTTATTTGAGAAGGCTAGAGGTTTGATCTTATTGGTCTACCCTATGATCAAGGGAGTAGCTAAAAGACAGCAGTAACTTGAGTAAGGCACCAGGAGTAAAGGAGAGAGGAGCCCAGAGCAGGCCAGGAGTGAGAAGAGAACATGGAGATGAAAGCAGAAGAATAGAACTTGAGAACAGAAAATTAAGAGCTGAAAGGGGAAAATTTTAGAGAAAGAAAGGTTTCAATCACAGGGCCTTTAGAAAGAGGCAAACACGGTATCTCGAGACCACAAGAACCAGTTGCTTCCTATTAATTTGTTTTCACTATACATCTTTGGTAATAGTCCAGCATTCACTGCCATAATTTTTCTCCTTTCTCTCCATCTCATGCGAAGCACAAGGCACATCCTCGATTCCTAAGAAACTGTATTGCTCGATCTAGTGTGCCTCCTAATATGGGCCCCAAAGCCAAGAGGATGGGTGAGGGTTAGCCTACAGTAGGGATGGGAGGGGGTGGGTGGGAACGCGATGTGGGCTGTGTGAAACTGAATGAACTCTGAATGGGTAGGTCTAGATCAAGACATTCATTTTTTTCAATTTTTTTTACTTCCCCTGATCAGAAAATCCAAGCTTCCGCCTTTACTTATGCAGATCTCGGCCTAGATTTGAGAGGGTACGTTTCCACACGAGAGGTGTTCCGGGGGAAAAAAAATTTTTTAATGCAGAAATGACGGTCAGAACACAGCTCAAACACATGCACACTGATGCTGTTTGAGATTTTCGTCATATGGGGGAACAACTGTTTTAATTACTGGTGTTCTTACATCCTATAATACATCATGTATAATAACTTCAACTTGTCTGCTTTCTTTACTTTAGCCTTAGTCACGTTCAACGGGAGGTCGGATCCAACAAGGACAATAAACCAGTCCTGGCTCTTTTCGTATCCATACATTCGAAAGCTTTAGATTCCTCAACCCACAAATCACAATTAATTCAATTAAGTGTCCCAAATGTGCCTCTGGTGAAAATGCTCTAATAAGACCAATCACAATTTATACAGCTGGTATTCATCTTCTGAAATTAATCCTGAACCCCAGGGGTCTAAAAGATTTCACCTTTACCAACTTCCATGATGGTCATGAGCATCCTCAGTTTAATTTGACGGTGTGCAAAAACATCTTTTGCATACCACCGGCTCTTCTACAGACTAAATCAGTCAGAGCTGGGCCCTGCCGCAAGAGGGATCGAGAGAGAAATGGGACCAGGGATGCTGCACACGTCATAATATCACACCATTATTAGTTGCATTATGCGCTGACTTTTGCCTGTTTACCGTTTACAGAGCCATTACTGTAGGGTTATGTCGTCCATATCTCTTGATTGTTCAATCATTTGTATGGGCACTTTTTTCTGTTGCTAATCGTTGTTGATTTGCAATGCAAATAATGTAATGCTGAGAGTCAATGGTTTCTGAACTTATATGAAATCCGCTGAGGAGGATAATTTGATTAAAAAGACTTTTCATATGAGCAAAAATTGTCGGTAAAAAGGAAAAGGAGACCAACTCCACAATTTTTCAAAGCTCTCTCTCTCTCTCTCTCTCTAAAATTACATGTCATAAAATTTATCTTTTAAATTCTTTTTAATGGATTATTCTTTAAAAGCTGCCAGCATGCAAATAGGTCTACTTTGATTCCCTTTTGGGCCACCTCGCGTTGCGTGAGCTGGATATATAGATCTAGAGTTTCTTTTTCTTTTGGTAAGTGTAAGGCATTTGCAACTGCATAAATCATAATGAGCACGCGGGACACATTAAACATTTTGGTAAATTTTTACTTATGCACCCACACACAGATGCACCAATTTGAGGGCTAAACTGCCATAATTTTTGCTGCAGAACACACGTACGGCCACTAAAATTAACCCTTGCAAATCAATTGTTTTCAAGTAAAAATATCAATCCTAAAGGCCAAAACATCAAATCATTGTGAAATGCAGGGGGGCATGCCCCCCTGAAACTCCCTAGATTCTTTAAATTAGGTCGGAGGGACCCCCTGAAACCCCCCATGTTGTTAAAAACAAGTCAAATATCATTACGCCACTGGTCCTAGTTCTGTTTTCAAACAAGTCAATAACTATTGATTTGTTGTAAAAATGAAGGCCATATTCGTGTTCACGATGCAAAATACTATTAGAAAGAGAGTAGAACAAACATGTAGGCTACACATGTGATGGGTGCATGAGTAAAAAAACCCCAACATTTTCAGTAGGTGGTAGTGCA